GGTTAACAAGGCAGGGCACCGGCCACTCACAAGAAACAGAAGCGGCTCTTCCATTTTCTTACGTTTCTCACTTGGCGTTTAGCAGCCACTGGTTTGGATATTGGACAAAGTTATGCTGTGTCAACAGAAGGGAACAGCGCATGAACTTTCCCCACAGCCCTTAGCTCACCCCAGGTCAAACATAAGTATATCAATTCAATCCCAAGGTCCGAAGACTTCGTGAAAGCTCATCTAGATCCTCAGCTGTTTCCATTTTCTTTTTCACGGCGTGGACACATGTTACCACCCCAGAGAAGATGGTCTTTCTGGTAGTACACAAAGGGCAATCTTTGTGTTAGTATACAAATCCACATGCTGAATTTGTGCTCTTCCCGTCGGCCTGTTTTAAGGTCTTATGTGCTTTCAGAAGAGAGCTTATCCTCATGGGCAAGGTTTCACTGACCACAGTTTTGCTCTAATTGAAGCAATCCTTTATGGTGAAAAGGTTGGTTGATTTGTAAAATTTCTTTATCATCTTATGTTTTAAAAGTATTTTTGTAGGTTCCTCTTTAAATTTGTGTCTTAAATGCCTTGACACCCCTTCCAACCTTTCACTTGGTGGTGGACACTGACTAGTAGGCTTGAATTTCTGGATTTAGTAATCATTATCATCAAGACCCCAGAAAGTCAAGGATTTGATAGGATGGTCTGCATGGACTCTTTCTAAAAGCATCTCATGACTAATGAAAATGCTACAGCGAGACCTATGTTTTGTATGGGATCCTTAAAACTGATTTAAAAAATTAATTGGCCAAGCCAGGCAGTGGTGGCGCACGCCTTTAATCCCAGCACTCGGGAGGCAGAGGCAGGCGGATCTCTGTTAGTTCGAGGCCAGCCTGGTCTACAAGAGCGAGTTCCAGGATAGGCTCCAAAGCTACAGAGAAACCCTGTCTCAAAAAACCAAAAGGAAAGAAAGAAAGAGAGAGAGAGAGAGAGAGAGAGAGAGAGAGAGAGAGAGAGAAGAGAAGAACTGGCCAAGAATTTACAGTGTTTCAGTGTTGCCTACATCTTTCATGGAGTAATTTCTGTTGGGTTCAATTATATACAGAAGTACAGAAGTAGGGAGAGAGAGAGAGAGAGAGAGAGAGAGAGAGAGAGAGAGAGAGAGAGAGAACATGTAAGTGCGTAAATGCTTCGAGGAGTCTCTAATGGAACCAGAAATTCAGTGTTTCATCTCTGCCCATTCCTAAGATTAACTAAAGAAAATTTGTTTTAACTCATTATAGGGGAGCAAAATTATGTGTAGTTAAAACCCAGCGGAAGGCAAAACAAGCTGAGACACTGACCCAGGACTACATCATTACCCGTAAGTTGCTGTTAGCATTCCTCTCTGTCTTACAGTGCTTTTCTCCGCCGTCGCATTCGTTAGAGTGCTGGCACCAGTTGTATCAGCTCCTGTCATGTGGACACAGGTACAAGTCTTCTGACAATATACTTTAGCTTCTTCATTTTTTTTTTTTGCAGAAAATGATGCTTGCTTCATGTAATTCCTCATCCTAAGGAGAAACGCCTATCTGAGCTGCTTGTATTAGTCTATCACAGCATCTTAAAAACTAACATATTATTTAATGGATAAATTTAATGAATAAACAAGAAGAGTGCTGGACTTATATTTAGGAGCCCTGAACTTGTCTGTTTGTACTATGGACTGACATTGTGATGTAGAACAACAAACTTATCAGGGAAATTAGTTAAGGAATCTATGACCATGTAGTAATATACTTGCATTCTGTATAAAATCTGAAGTGTGAAGAGAAAGCTTACCAGAGCATAGCGGTTTCTCTCAGGTGGGCCATACAACCTTGTTAATTTGATAGGCAGGCCTATGTTCCAAAACCACAGCCTCAGACCTCTAATAGGCCAGGAAGGGAATCTTGGTTGCCACAGAGTAGAGAGTAGCCAGCCATCTAGATTTTACCTGTGTCTCAGACTGAAGCCCAAGGAGTACTCTGAGGTGTTAGAGTTGTTTCACTGAGACTATAAGTTCCATTTAACCTTTAACCTTTGTCTTCTCCAGTCCCCTGAAAACGTGTTCTCCTTTAAAACAGGTTTGAATCTGTTAATACTGACTGAAGGAAATTCCAGGTCAACAAAAAGATAGCTATTTAATATTCCACAATATCCCCCCCCCCCCGCCCGAATGTTACATAGTTTCTCCTTAAATCCATGTTATTTTTATGTTTAGAATTTAATTCTGGAACAGTAGTTGAACATATGTGCCCAGTTTTTATCCCCCTCTTGTTTTGTGCACCAACCATGTGGAAGGAGTGCCCATGCCGGTAGGGAGAGTCAGGCAGCCCTGCATTCAAGGCAACCTTTATCCCACTTTCAGTACACCGTGCTCCTCCCTTCCGGTTGCTCAGGGCTGTCACTCCCTGCTGAGCGGTGGTCACATTTCAGAAACGTGTGAAACGATTCCAGTGTTTATGAGGCATCTGAGGAAACTTGAGGACTGACAGGCACACTGTTGGCGTTACTCTTATGTGGGTGCTGTAAGAACAAATAAGAAAGTCGTTCCGTTAAGTGTTTTCAAAACCACAGAAATTGAGCTTTAACCCATGGTTAGGGAGATGAGACTCACCAGTGTTTCCATGACAGTGTTTCCTGAGTGCCATTAGCTGCCAACAGAGGTGAACAATGAGTCTGGTATCAAACGAAATTAGCTAATTGGTTACAGTAAGGCTGTCTTTTATTATTAAATGAAGGCTGTCATTATGATTTCCATTTCATGTTCCAGTTAGTCATGCATTAGTTATGTTTTTGGTTGAAGGGTTATTATTATAATGAAATTTTTCAAATGTGACTTCTCACAGCTCATGCCTTGCCCATGTTCCGTGAGCCCCGCCAACGCAGTACAAGGAAACAGCTGGAGAAGGACAGACTGGACCCCCTGAAGTCACACAAGCCAGAACCTCCTGTCGCAGGCCCAGGTGACTGCGGTCCAGCCAGTTGTCTGGCAAGGGGATGAGGGGCCAGGGCGGTGTCACTAATAGGGAGATGGTAGGAGCTTTCGGGCCTGCGTGGTTCTTGATCTTCGGAGAGACTCTTGCGGTTTTCAGATGTTTCCTAGCCCCAGAATCACAGCGCGGAAGACTGATAGAGCTTCTGTGCTGGGCTAGAGAGGCCGTCTGGGGCTTTCTCCTCTCCTGCTTGAGCCTTAGGTGACCTCACTAGAACTCTGGGGCTCCTTGCAAGTCAGTGTTGAAACTGCTGCTCTCAGTTTTGGCTTAATGTACGACATTGGTCTCTTAGCCTGAGATCCAAGCTGGATTAGGTTTCACACAAGGCAGAAAGTGACTGTGACTTATAGTCCAGTGTGATAAAATGGAGCTGCCCATTTCACTAGAAGGTAAATGAAGGATTGCCTGTAGCAGGAGACAGCATGGTATGCTGTCTATTGTATGCAGATAGTTTTACTTAAATTTCATTTTCTACTCTCACTTGTGGTTTTGTTTGTCCTAGGCAACTGAGCCTTTGACTTGTCCATTTATCTGAGTCTCAGCCCTAGACCTGCTATTTGAAATGTCCTTACTTCTATTTTGATTATTTTTAGAACTTCCTTGCTACCAATAAAAGTTTCTACATAATAGTCTTGCCTAGATTATTTCAAGTCCTTCTAGTAGACAGTATTATCTCATCTCATCTCTCTCTCTCTCTCTCTCTCTCTCTCTCTCTCTCTCTCTCTCTCTCTCTGTCTGTCTCTGTCTCTCTGTCTCCACCCCTTCTCCCTTTGTCTTGCATACAGCCAGCTTTTATCCCATTCCTCTGATTTTCATGTTGCTGTTGTGCCCAAACTCCCCCATTTTCCCCCACCCCATATACTTTTCTGTGTCAGGGTTCTCTGCAGTGCACTGACTCACCTTGGTAGTTTTGTACTTCATGCCTCTTTTATTGTGATCCTCAAACTTCCCTCTGTCTGCAGTCTTGTACGTAACTCATATGGTCATTGAAAGTAATACCTTAATATAATAATAATAATAATAATAGTAAGGTTTTGTGGGCCTTCCGAAAATGATCCATTGCTTTCAGAAGGACATTTCAGCCACCACAGACTGAAATGTTGTCTCCTTCCTCATAAAGCTGTAATAGTTATTGGCCACACAAAGCCTCTGGCAGTTGGTCAGTTTTTTTTTTATTTTCTTCTTAATTTTTAAAGGTAATCTTCCAGTATTATTTGGTTATTCATTTGTTTATCTTTCTAAAAATCAGATCAGAAACGAACTTTCTAAATGTCAGCCCATTTTGTTTCTCAGGCACTGTACTTTCTGGAGAGACCCAGCAGGGTGCAACTCTTTGCCCTTGAGCTTGCTATCTGCCTAGGCAGTCACAGCAGACAAGGAAGAAGAGTCAGTATATTCACATGGCTTGTTTTCTCTCAGAACTCAGAGTAGTGTGTCTATAACACAACATACACCGACTGTGGAAAGCCCTAAGATACATTTGTTTAAACTAAAGTAGCAGCTGATAAATAGTGGCTACTTTTAGTATTGAATTTCAATAAATTTATACTAGAGAAATTTTTAATACAATCTTTGTGAGATTTTTTTTTAATTTTTTTTTAAAAACAGTATCATTTTGCAAATTAAGCAACCGAAACATTTTTTAAATGTCTCTTCCTGTTTTGGATAGTTAAAGGGTGATGGTTCCTTACTTTTTGATCCATGAAAGCTGAAAGGATGATGTAGGTACTACTGAGATCTGAGCTCAGTACGCAGCATACACAGCTGTAATAATGGATCATCGGTTCGTTCTGTTTCTAATCTGGGGTTTTTCTTTTGAAATAGGTCGTGGTGGCCGAGTTGGAACCCACGGGGGCACCCTGTCATCCTACATTGTGAAAAACATTGCTTTGGACAAGACTGATGACAGTAATCCCCGAGAAGCCATTTTGCGTCATGCCAAAGCAGCAGAAGATAACCCATATTGGGTTTCGCCAGCGTATTCCAAGTAAGGAAGTAGCTGTGTAAAGCAGAAAAGTGGGGCCTGGTGAGATGACTTAGTGGTGAAGGAGCTTGTCTGTGCCTGGTGACCTCAGTTCAGTCCCTGCAACCCATGGGAAGGTGCAAAAGAAAACTGACTCCGTATACACACCATGACATGCTCTCTCTCTCTCTCTCTCTCTTTCTCTCTCTCTCTCTCTCTCTCTCTCTCTCGATATTAATAATACTATATAATAATACTATATACTGGCAGTATAGTAGAGTATGTCCTTAGTGTTTCCAAAGTCATAGATTTAAGCCCAACACCAAAAAAGTAAATAAAAATGAAATAGAGAAATTATTATGTCTAATGAATTGGGAAGAGCATAACAATAGTACTTGGAAGTGTTAACTTTCTCTTCTCTGTCGTATTTGAGCACAAAGGATGGGCCAAGAATTGTGGGTGTGATAGCAATGCCTGTAATCCCGACATCTAGGCAGCAATAGCTGAAGGGGTGAGCTGGAGACTGCCCTGAGCTGTGAGAGACCATCTCAACAACGGGACCAGGGATTCTGAATTCTGATGCCTAGACATTTGCTTATATCGTACGACTCTAAAGTGGTAAAACTTAGACTCACAGCAGTTTGTTATCAGTGTTAAAGCCAGGAACAAGCCTTCTGTGTTCCTTTGGCCTAACACTTTAGAAAGTGACACTGTTATCTCAGTGGAGGGTAGTTAGATGCAAACAAAGGAGAGTGACTTGCCTGTCTTCTTAAGACGGTCTGGGGACTGAGGGTGCTGTGTTTTGCTTTTAGTTTGATTTGCTTTCCAGAGTCTCACTATGTAGCTCCTGCTGAGTGGGAACAACACACTGTGTAACCAGGTTGGCCTCAAACTTGCAGCAATCCTCATGCTCCTGCCTCAGGCTAGTTCTCATATAAGAAGCTATATATAAAAATCTTTCCCTGTACAGTGAATCCAGCCTTTTAAAGTCCTCAAACAGCTTAGCATGGTGAGTGTGTAATGGTTTTTAATGCTACCACACCACCCACATTTATACCAATTGTACTGTTGTTGAATTGTCAGTAACTCTTGAAATTTTTACTAGAACTAGTTTTAGACTTAAGCAGATTAACACCTTACATAACCATCTATAATTGATTAATCTCTGTAGTAGCTACCACTGGCCAGTTGTTAAACTTACAATATCTTTATTTCTAAGTAGGATTTTTTTCCCTCAGATATTGCTCTTATCACTAATGTACTTTATTTGAACTGCATTTACTTCATTTGACCTTCTGGAAAGCCCTTCTATTTAGTTTTCTAGCTGGGCAGTGGTGGTGCACGCCTTTAATCCTAGCACTTGGGAGGCAGAGGCAGATGGATCTCTGTGAGTTCAAGGCCAGCCTGGTCTACAAGAGCTAGTTCCAGGACAGGCTCCAAAACAACAGAGAAACCCTGTCTCAAACAAAACAAAATAATAATAAAAAATTAAAAAATTAAAAAAATAGTTTTCTGTCTAACTGTGTTAAAGGATCATTTGACAGGTGAAATGTGGATGCATGGTGGTTCCTGTTTTGTTAATAAATCTTGAGTTTATAAGCTGTAGGACTGTATCCCTCTTGATATCATTTCCATTTATTCTACTTCTGATATCCCTTATAAATACCATATTATTTTGTTATCTATCAAAAGATAATGGATTTAAAATTTTTACATCCCCAAAGGAATTCCCTTTAAATATATTGCTTTAATTTAAAGACTCTCTCAGGCTCCTCCCTCCCTCTCTGTCTCTCTCTCCCCTTCTTCCCCTCTCATCACAAGGTTAACATTGGAGCAGTACTATGGCTAAGTTGCATACATTCCTTGGTCTATTTTTTTTTTTGAGAACAGATATAATTTAATAATTGAAAAAGGGGGGAACTCACGATACAAGAGTGGGAGGTCCGAAATCCAAAATGGTTCGGCGAGCACCGCATAGAGAGAGCACGTACCTACCTCTCCCTGTTTTTCTACCTGGGCTCTAGGTGGCCACACCCTAACCAGATTGGTTGAGCTTCCCCATCACTAACCAGACTACATAGGAAGATCCAGTCTCAAAAAAAAAAAAAAATGTCAACTATGAGTTACTATTGTTTCTAGCTTCTTTTTCTGTTTTTGTGGGTAAGGAGACGAAATGATTGAATGAGAGGTACTTGGGAGACCAAAAGATTGGTTGAAGCCAGTATATGGCAGGGTCCTGGCAACAACCAAAATGGACTATTTTATGACCCCCAGGGGGATGTTTGTAGTCTTTCAAGTCAGGGTACACACTGAGTTGGAAAGAGGGCATCTCATTGTTGGTATAAATTTGGGCCACAGGCAGGATGCTGGTAGGGGCCCCTGGTGGTATATTGTCCTTACTCTGGGATGGACTGGCATTGACTCCACTATGAAGTGAATGTTGGCATTGAACTTGAGGTGATTGCTGATGCTGGACTTGAGGTGACTGTTGGTGTTGAACTTGAGATAACTGAAGTGGAACAAGAGGTGACAGCTGGTGTTGGATTTGAGGTGACTGATGAATTTGGGCTTGAGGTGATTGTTGATGTTGGACTTGATGTGACTGAAGTGGAACTTGAGGTGACTGCAGGTGCTGGACTTGAGATAACAGAAGTGGAGTTAGAGGTAACTTCTGGTGTTGAACTTGAGGTGACTGCTGGTGCTGGACTTGAGACAACAGAAGTGGAGTTAGAGGTAACTTCTGGTGTTGAACTTGAGGTGACTGCTGGTGCTGGACTTGAGATAACAGAAGTGGAGTTAGAGGTAACTTCTGGTGTTGAACTTGAGATGACTGCTGGTGTTGGACTTGAGGTGATTGTTGATGTTGGACTTGATGTGACTGAAGTGGAACTTGAGGTGACTGCAGGTGCTGGACTTGAGGTAACTCCTGATGTTGAACTTGAGGTAACTGAAGGACTAGAGGTGCCAGCTGGTGTTGTACTTGAGGTGACTGCTGGTGTTGGAGTTGAGATGACTGTAGAATTTGTACTTGAGATAACTGAAGCGGGACTAGAGGTAATGGCTGGTGTTGAACTTGAGCTAACTGCTGGTATTGAACATGAGGTGATGGTTGATGTTGGAGTTGAGATGACTGCTGAATTTGTACTTGAGATAACTGAAGCGAGACTAGAGGTGATGGCTGGTGTTGAACTTGAGGTGACTGCTGATTTTGGGTGTGAGGTGACTGCTGACTTTGAAACTGAAGTAATGGCTGAAGTTGGAACTGAAGTAACTGCTGGTATTGCTCTTGGACTTGGGGTGACTGCTGCTGATGCTCTTGGACTTGGGGTGACTGCTGCTGATGCTCTTGGACTTGGGGTGACTGCTGGTGATGCTCTTGGACTTGGGGTGACTGCTGGTGTTGCTCTTGGACTTGGGGTGACTGCTGGTGTTGCTCTTGAACTTGGGGTGACTGCTGGTGTACTTGTTTCTGCTGAGTGTCACATTTGACTCTCTTGCGTTTTGCTCGTTGGTTCTTGAACCAAATCTTCAGAACTTTGGGATTCAAGTCCATTTGCAAGGCAAGCTCTTTTATGAGCTTGGGGTTTGGATATGGGCTTGCCTCATAGACTTTCTTCAGTGTGTCCAGTTGTTTCCGAGTGAATATAGTTCGTCTTCTATCTAGATTGTTCTGGGACTCACCTTCAGGAAGGGTGCAAGGGGATGATGACATCTTAACCATAGCTGCTCCCTGGACTAAGTTCTGCAAGTAAGGCCCCCATTCCTTGGTCTTGATCAGGTTTTCTTCTCATGTCCTTTCTCTATCCCAGAAGCCTATGCTGTGTTCCATTGTTTTTCTCTCTCAGTAATTTTTACTTTTTATCATCCTGGTGTCTTTAATGAATAGTGGTCATTGATTCTGTCAGTTTTCAATTTGTGTTTGTGTAGTATTTTCTCGTGATTGTAATGAAATTGGGCATATTGGGTAGAAATACAAGAATGAAGTTAAAGCCATATGTGTGTGTCCTGTCGAGGGTTTCATGATGCCAGTATGCCTTATTAGCGATGATGCTGACTTTAGTCGCCGGATGTAAGTGTCCCCTTATGAAGTTCTTATCTCTGTTTCAGATCAACACATATCTTGGGGAGGGCGTCCGTTCTTCCTCATACTTCCCGCTTGGGTTTTGTCCACAGTAGTTTTGCCTATGGCAGCCATTACTGTGGTGGTTGTCTCACAGTGGATTTCTTTCTTTCTTGGTTTCCGTATGTATTGTTGCAGTCTCCTAAAGAAATTTGTTCCTTCTCCTATGTTTTTGTTTTCAGAGTTTTTATTCAATATTAGTAGGGACTCTAAAATGCTTATTTCATTCTCTGAGGCTATTGTCATGTGGTTTGTTGTTCGTCTTGTCCCAGCTTTGGCCAGTAGAAGGTCCTTCAGGGGAAGTAGTTATTGTCCTCTTTCAACAGTGTAGCCTGCACCCTTACTCTTTAGAGTGCTTCCCCACTTTCTGATGCTCCACTTCAGCTGAGTAGCACACATTTGTAAGTTAATCATCATTGACAATGAGGTGAATCTCTGCATCATGTGTTGACTCTTCTATTTGTCATGAAGTACTTAGTTGTCTGTTCTTGCTATAAGAAACCTTGTTCAGAAAAAGCCACCGATTGAGGAAAGAAAAGAAAGCAGAGATACAGTCTACAGTATGCTGAACACAATGAGCACCGTTTTGATGGCCCAAATGTGTGTGTTTATACACGAAAGTAAATCATTGAAATGTCTCCAAAATGCCGATGTCATACCTCTTGTTAACTGTTGTTAGATGTTAGTAAAATCTACCATATTAATGTAATCCTTGGGAAGATGTCAAAGGCCTAACCTATCACTGAAGAAAATAAAGTTCTAGAAGTCTACTTTTGGGGCCTGCTGGAAAGCAGCTCATTGCTACAACCTGGAGCAGGAACTTGGCCCCAGAAATCCTCTGTTACAGCTCTAGTATCTGATAACAATATTTTTGCTAAAGGGCCAACTTCAATTCATTATGTAATTTTTGTTTGAGTTTTTAAGCAGTACATTCATTGTATGTGTGGGGAGTCCATGAGTACTAGCTGGGAGACTCCAGGCCCTCATTCTCCTGTTGAGAGATACTAACTAATGCTGTGATGTTTATGCTCCTAAAAAGAGCTCATGTGTAAATTATGAGCTCTCCCATACTAATTGCATTTTCCAAAAGGCTCAATGCCCACTGTTCATTTCTCTGGTATGTGTATAGATTCTTACATCATTTAAAAGCACAGAGATAGGGATAGGCAGTGGGCCAGCAGGTAAAGCACTTGTTGCCAAGCCTGACAACTCGTCAGTCTGTGGGACCCAGATGGTGGGAGGAGAGAACTGACTCCCAAATGTTGTCATCTGATAGGTACATGTGTGTTATGACAGGCATGCATGAGTGCACACACACATACACACACATGATAAACAAATCTAAAAATATATAAACACAGTCATATAGCATGGCTAACATATTGTTTTTTATTTAGAATTTATTTAGAGAATGGGCTAGGTCTCTACCCATTGTATGTTCAGCCCATTTTTTTTACTTTATATTTAATTCCCATGTATTACATAGTTATGTTCTGTTTTTCTAAAACAATGCCCTCTTAAATGGTAGTTATGTTGTCTTCACTCTAACTCGCATAAACAATACTGAATTAGTGCCTTTGGGATCTGTATTTGCCTACTATATAAAAATTCTAGGAATAGAGTTGCTATGGATTTCAAATATGTTTGGATTATACCAGGTTTTCCTCCAAAGGAACTTTTAGTCAGCCTCTCCGATATACCAGTGCCTTACCTCATCAGCGTTTATTCCTACTCTCTCTTTTTGTGCTGTTGTAAGTAGAATCTTCTACTGGATTTATAATTCCTTTCTATATGAACATGCTTGCATATAGAGTGCTATTTGTGTATCTTGGTGTTCAGCTACTCATTGTATTTTTATTAAATAATTTTTATACAAATTTCTGGGCTCTCTGCATATAAAACTAAATTTCCAATTTTTATATCTACTGTTTTTTCTTCTTACCTGATTACCTTGATTATTTCCAAAACAATACTAAATTGTGTCTGTGGCTTTGAACATCCTTTTCTCCCTTTGAACTGTTAACAGGAGTCTAGTATAATATGTGAATTTTCCTGTTCTGTATGTGAGGAAAGTCAGCCAGCAATTTTATATTGTTTACTCTTATGCTATATCTCCATAACATATAAAATATACATACAAGAATTTAAGGACAGCTTTTGAGAGTAGATTTTCTTCTTCTACTCTGGATTCTAGCAATTGGACTCAGGTTGTCAGGCTAGTGCTTCTACTATCTCACTGGCCCCTTAAATCATTTTTTAAATTCCTTTATCTCTATGGAAGTGATCACATGATTTTCCTACCTAGATCTACATGTGACAAATTTTGATAGAACCTTCTGTAGTTTGTTATCTAGTTGTTAGGCTGGCTTCTTTAAAAAAAGAAAAAGGAAAAAAAGAAAGAAAGATTAACTTAAAACTTAGCTATTTTGTAAATACATAACTATCTTATAAAATTTATAAAATGTGTTGCCTCTGTGGAGGGCAAGGTGGAGAGTAATGTCTTTACCCACCACCCCCTGCCTTTCCCATTGTCTCCTGTCTAAGTCTGTCTAGCGTTTATGACTGTTCCCAGGAGCCTTCATAATTGATATATTTCTTAGACAGTCGTCCATCTGGGTTTTCAGGTTTATTTAAATGGAGTTAATTGAAGCTCATTGTGCTCGCCCATGGCTGTGCTACGTAGAGACTGCTTTTTCACTGTAAGTGGTTTATATTCAGTTGAACAAACGTGCCAGGTGAGGAGGAAGTGCACTGCCATGCTGCCCTTACTTCTGTGCTCTGGAGGGCTCGAAGCTGGTGCTAGCCTCGGTGCCTTGAACCCGAGCACTGCGTCTGTATGACCACACAGCTTTCTTTCCCTCCATCTTCCGTGCCTTACATTTGTTGCCAGCTAACTAAGTTGAAGGTGTTGCCTGTGTGGGGGATGTACTCTGTTAGCTGGGCTCACGGAGCTGTTTCTTCTATGTTCACTTGCTACAGTCTACTGTTTACTGCCAAGTGGCAAAGTGTTTGAAGGAAGCTAACATTTAAAAGGATCTTTTTGTAAAGGTCACTGTAACTGAGAATGTGTGTCTGCTTGTTTTTCTTTGCTGCGATTGACTTCTGTCAGTGATGAAATGAAGGTGTATTTGCTATATCTCGCTTTAACACAGAAAAGCACAGCGAGGCATCCCTCCCCTGCTGCACACAGCATCTACGCCAGTGAATCCCTCTCCCGCTGCCAGTGCAGTCTGAACACTTTACATGTGTCACTTGAGGATCTAAGCTCGAGTCCTGACAGTAGCAGCGTAACAGCCATGCGAGTTTTCAAACACAGCAGGATTACAGAGGACTCTTGTTCAGCTGCACATGGACAGATTCAGTTACAGTTTCTTGTTCAAAGATGCTGCTGGGGGGAGGGGAAGAGAGCTGGCTGGGGAAGGGGCAGGATGTAGGTCCAGAATGCTATTAGCTTACACATCAGACAGGGATAAATGTGTGGGAGCTCGGATCCTGGCCAGCAGCCTGCCAGGATGACAGCTCTGTCAGCCATGGCTGCCCGTCTTGCCAGATGAACTACCATTATTGCTTGTTCAGTCAGTTTAACTTCACTGTGCATATCTTTTGAAATACAAGATGTGTGGCTGTGTGTGTTGTGTGTGTACTAAAATATGATTCCCACCTATAAAGGATCCATTTAAAGTCATATCGAGTTCATAAGCCATATTTAAAGCAGTCATTGTGAACAAGGAAAGGTTTATATGTGATTTGTGTCAGGAAGAGACGTAAACCCACAAAGAGAAAAGTATTTTTTTCCCCTGAGTTATATTCATGTGCTGATTGTTACAGCCCACCATGATCCTGTATAGATGACAGTATTTCTTAGGCTGGTTTTATGAACTGCCTGCCTCGTAGGCAGTCGGGGAGGGGTTTAGGGAAGAGGACTCAAGTGCGAATTTCCTGGTCCATTCCAGATGAGCAGGCTCTGTGGGATTCCAGCTGAAAATCTACTTTTTAAGAAGTGCCAGAAATGATGGTTTTGCACACGAATGCTTGAAAATAATACAAAAGTAATTACTCAGAATCATAAATTATTCCTCCTTAGGAAAGTTCACATATACTAGACAACTTCAGTTATAAGAGACTCATACCAAATCATTTTCATAGAAAACGAATTCTCCCCAGGATTTGAAAACATAGCATGTTGCAATGTTGTATTTAATGTATGAATTCTTTTACTCAATACATTATTCCTAGAACTCAGGAAAAGATATCAATTGTATGAAGTAAGAGCCCCTATTATCTAATGCAGGTTATGTAACACTAATGATACTTTTATTGTACGATACTGTGACAGACTTGTTTAAAAGCTCAGTATGTTTTATCATATAATCCACATAACCCATTAAGTTAAGCAGTATTATTGTCCCCGCTTTCTGCATGAGGAGACTGGAAACGTATAACGTGACTGCCCCCAGGTATCAGGTGGCAGGGCTGGGGTTGTGTCTAGATGGTCTGCCATCTAGGGTTTCTCAGTAGTGAGGATTGTCTCTCCTTGTGGTGCAGCTAATAGTAGCTGCTGGGATGCTGAGATGATGTTTGTGTGAGCCAGCATGGCTTAGCAGAGGGAACCCTAGACCGAGCATTACAAGTCCCGAGTGTACTTCCAGCTCTGCTGCTCCTGTTAAGTGCAGCACTTGTCTTACTAAGGCTGTTTCCCTTATCTGCAGGAGTAGGTAGGGCTCCATCCATGCCCACTTGGGCGTGTACTTAGAAACTCATAAATGAGAACTTAGGGGGGCATTCATGAGACCTGGCCTGTCTCTGGCTTTTTTCCTTTAAGTTTTCATTGTTCTTGCTTGTTTACCCACTTGATAATAAGGTGCTAATAATGCTGATTTTACAGGGCTCTTCTGTTTGTCCCCCCTTTCATTTTTTATTCTGTGACCGCATTTCTAATCTCTGGACTCTCAAGCATAAAATACTGCACTGTATGAGTCCAAGAAGTGTTCATTTTCCAAAATGTTGCGTCTTCATTTCCTGAAGAAAATAGAAAATTCTTTATCTAGAAACGTCTTATTGCCTCTGCTCTTCTTATACATCCCCAGTGTTTAAAAAAAAAAACAAAAAAAAAAAAACACTGTTGATTAGCTCATCACAGACAGAAGGGGCCATTTCAAGTCGAATCTTTTGGTCAAGCCTTTTATTTAATCTTAATAATTCTGCAATTGTGACTACTGGGTCAGAGTTCAGCCAGGCTGTCTTCATCCTAACAGGGCTAACAAGTGTGTCAGATGTCGAGTCATGGCTATAATTGGCTTTGGCTTTGAGGTTTTCCTTCATAATAAACAATGGGCCCCAAGCCAAAAAAGCGTGTGGTTTATACTTGCATTCTCAGGATGAAATATTTCGAGTGGATTTCCCCTCATATTCCTTGTGGTACCCAGGAGCTTGCTTCCTGTACAAATCAGAAGCACGCCCATAATGAAAGAGAACGTGACCTGTGGACTTCCCATTACAGCTGCAAATATTGTAATGACATCATCCTGCTGTGAGTGTTAGAGAAGGGGTTGCAGAGACACAGGTTAGAGCTTAGTCAGGAGAGAAAAGATACCTGGAGTCTCTCATACAAACCTGAGTGCACCCTAAATTGCCCTTTAGAAGACTGCAGTGTGGGAACCTTTGCTCATCACTGGCCGCTGGAGAGGGAAACACTGCAGGGTCCTCACGTCCATGAGTTCCTGTCACCCAGTGGAGTGCACACTTGCTACCACTCACGTCACACAGACAATCTGAAGAACTTCTTTTAAAGTGTCAGAGGGAGTAAGGGAATAAGGGGAACACGGAAGCAGGCAGGAGGACCATGTGGGGGGAGAGAGAGACCAGAAGAGGACAGGATCAGGGAGGGAGATGGGTAAGATAGAATGGCATAGACATAAGCAAACACGTCAGTGAAAGCCATTATTTTGTATCCTAACTCTCAGCTCTCACAAAGAACTTCAGCCAACTAAGGAATGCTGAGAACAGGAGAAAGAGTCTACCCCAGAGAAGAGCATTTGGTTATCCAAAACCAAATGATCAGCCCTGAAAATGTACAAGTAACATTATACAGCCTGAACAGGTTATATATAAAATATATAAGCATATACATTTATGCATATAACAGAAACTATAGAAAAGAGACCATAAATTTCAAAGAGAGCCAGGAAAGGTATATGGAAGGGTTTGAAGGGAGGAAAGGGAAATGTTGTAATTATAATCTCAAAAATAAATAATACAAAATTTAGATTAATTTTTTAAAAATTAAGAAAAATTAGCACCAGGTGTCACCAAATTCTAACTTGTAGACTTGATGGACCTTTGCATAAGCTTCTGTGTTCATTAGTTCATGAAATCATATTTACTCTTGCAAATGCAGAATAGACTGAATGTGACAGACCAAGACAAAAAGCACTCCTTCGATGAGTTTATCTAGTGGTTGGCAGCAGTAATTATACTGAAATTTAGCTGTCCTTGGTAATTTAATGAACTGTTACCAAATTTAATCAGATGAAAAACTTACCCAAAAGAGTTAATCAGCCTGGAAGGTGCAGGTTTCAAATCAGCCTTCTTTACAGTCAGGTTTTTGACTAACACATGAAAGTAGTTAATGATAGCCAATAAAAGAATGGGTCTGGGTGAAGCTGATTTCAATAGTGCAGACACTAACTGGCTTCTCCTTTGAAATTCATGGTGTCCTCATGAGCCTGCCAACACCAAGGATTCCTGTGTTCTCTGCATTTCTTTTAAGCCAGAAGGTTCTTGGTTAGGACCAGGGAGATGAATTTGTCATGAGGCTCCAAGTCCAAGGAGTTAGAAGAGAATGGGCTGGAGAGATGGCTCAGAGGCTAAGAGCCCCGCTTTCTCTTCCAGAGGACCTAGGTTCAATTCTCAGCACTCATGTGGTGGCTCACAGCATTTATAGTCCCAGTTCCTGGGGCTCCAGTGCCCTCTCCTGGCCTCTGCAGACACAATGCACACAGTGCAGATACATGTACAGGTGAAACACCCATGCACATAGAATAAAAATAATTCTTTAAAAAACCAAACAAATAGAAAATAAGGAATGGTGGACAATGTAAATGCCTTCTTGAAGAGGTAGAATGTCTTTCTTGCGCTTTGTACGTATGTAGCTCTGATTTGCTGCTCTGTTGTCGTCGTCCATTTGGTTTGGCTTGTCACACCGTTTCTCACAGAACTACCCAATGGAGACTGTGCTGAGATCAGTGTACCTATTCCGTTTCCATAAGCAGCTCTGAAAGGAATCCACACCGAACAGACTTAAAGGGTGTGCTGCTGTTGCTTCCTGCTGGCTCTGAGAGCAGGAGTTTCTAGACCAGCTTTAAACTGTTTTCCAATGCATTAATACCGTGTCCGTTTGCATGTGTCACATCACTTTCCTTGGCCCTGTTGATTTATTTTTGTAGTGTTTTCGTGTGCCAAGGGCAAATTAGGCTGTTCCCTAGAGAAGAAATCTGCTCGGTCTATTCTTAACTTTGTTTGAGATTGCCCAATCATCTCTGTTCTTCATTGTCCTGGTCAGTGGTGACTAAAGAGAGTCTGTTTAAAATGCCCCAAGACCGACCTGAGTTGAGCTGCTAAGATCATTCTCATGTGTGAGGCTACGCTCTTTCTCCAAACAATAACTTGTGCAAATGAATTCAAAGGCGAGAATGGCTCTGAAGAAAGCTGCGAGGTTGAAGGCCACGCTTGTTCTGTGCTCCTACCAAGCACATTCATTAGGTCCTAGGTGTTCTGTGAGCCGGTTCAAGAATCTCTTTATTGGGTTTTTTTTATTTTTTTTTATTTTTCGAGACAGGGTTTCTCCATAGTTTTTGGTTCCTGTCCTGGAACTAGCTCTTGTAGACCAGGCTGGCCTCGAACTCACAGAGATCCACCTGCCTCTGCCTCCCAAGTGCTGGGCTTAAAGGCGTGAGCCACCACCGCCCGGCTTCAAGAATCTCTTTAAAAGAACCTTGTCTTTATTTAGCAAACAACAAAGAGCTCTTATTAATGTTTCTAGACTATTCTTTTTGAATGTTGTTTTGGGGGGCAAAATGGATTGTTTCTGTGAGCTGCACCTCCCATTTTCCACCACTTTCCTGTTTTTCTCTTTCAGGAGGAAAAGCTCTTTCTTTTTCCTTTTGAAATATTCATTTTATGTACATTGGTGTTTTGCCCACATGCTTGTCTGTGTGAGGGCATCAGATCCCCGGAACTGAAGTTACAGACAGTTGTGAACTGCTGTATAGGTGCTGGAAATTGGACCTGGGTCTTCTGGAAGAACAGCTAGTGTTCTTAACCACTGAGCCATCTCTCCAGCCCTTAAAGGCTTTTTCATAAAGAATGGACCTGAGAGTAAAACTTCAAACTTTGTGCCTTATCATTTTCAGTAACTTCATACAGCTTCTCCAGGTGAGAATTATCTCCTCATAGTTGGAGCCCGTTATACCTTTATGCTAAGGAGATATATTCTTCACCTTGTTGTAGAGACCTGCTGTTCTTGTTGCTCCCCACACCCTCACCTCATGCCCTGTGAGTGTATGTGTGAGTGTATTTGTGTGAATGTATGTGTCTGTGTGTGTGTATTTGTGTGTCTGTATGTGTGTATTAAATATGTACATGTGTGCATTGGAGGCTAGAAGATATCAGGTCTCCTCTTCTTTTACTCTCTGCCTTGCTACTTGAGTCAGGGCATCACACTGAAACCTGGAATTTTGCTGACAGCCAGCAATCCTCATCCATCCTCCAGTATCTCCCCCCTCCCCAATGCCTGACTTGCCAGTGTTATAGGACTGTGTAACCATGTTCAACTTGTGCATGGGTGCTGAGGATTTGAACTCAGATCCTCACATTTTCATAGCAAGCAGTTTTACACGTGAAGCCATCTTCTTAGCATCCAGGACCAAGGTTCACGTTGAGTTATATGTCCTCTCATCCCTTGGTTCTGAACCTTATCATTGTTTTCATTGTGTTCACTAATGAACTTTATTGAGGCATAGTTTATATACAGTAAGGTATCAAATGCAACGATCTCAAGTTTTGGCAAACACACACACTTATGTAACCAGTACTTCAGTCTCTGTCCCACAAGAACATGATCTCCTGCCTTGCAGCATTACTCTGTCCACCTGATGCTAACAGCTCAGTCACCAGCCTGCTGTAAGTGCTCTTGGGAGTAGGTGGACTGTGTCTAAGTAACCCCTTCAACCAGACAGCTTAGGTGTCTTTCCTGGAGCCTGCCACATCCATTTCGTTTATAATAATCTCTCTCCAGAAGCAGCTTGAGCTAAGGGGGAGGACATTGTAACATTCTGATATTTTCTTGGGATTTTCTTCTTTGGGATGGTGATAGGAATGTCATTGAGCCAAGTATGCTTGCAAAGCACAGATCCTCTCGCGAAGATTGCCTGGTGACTTGTGTGCTGTCTGTCAGAGATAATGTATGGCCGTGTCACTGGCGTGTTCAGTGATGCAT